TTCCTCACGGTCGTGATGGCCCAAAGTAAGGTGTCACGGTCGTGACACCCTTGTAACGACCGTGGTCGTAACAAATTATGCAGAGTTTATGCAGGCTTCTGTCTTGCTTCATTTCTTGTGGTTTCTTTGTTCTTTTCTTCTTAATTCTTGATTTGGCCTCACATATCGATGTACCTGCAAAATAGTAAGAAAAACTCGAGGAATCGAGCGTTAAAACGGTGAATGCGCGGTAAAAGTCAATGAAATCTAGCGATATAACCGATGCGTTTTCTCGTCATCACATGTGCACATGCTGCAATGGCATGTGAGCAAGGTACACGGAAGGCCAAGTACTTGCCGCAGTCACACCAATATCTGTTTAGTCTGACAGCATAGGATAAATCCCCTCATTATGGTCCATTGTTTCTTCTACGCTGAATGTTTTCCTATGACGGTCAAAGACTGTAATTGCATGTGTGTTGGCTCTGATAGTATCCTCTTTCATCAATTTCATTATGCTTTCACTGAATACTTGACCCGACGTTAACACTGCATTCCATCTTTCGCCTCTTGTTGCGAAAAGTGATGTCAACCTATAATAGGTTGATCTCACCAAAGCGGTGATTAGAAGGTTTCTAATTCCTTTAAACTCCCTATTCATGGACTCTACAAGGTTTATCGTCATGTGGCCCCAACGACATCCACCATCAAAAGCCCTTGTCCATTTTTGGAGTGGAATGTTATCCAACCGGCTTCCTGCATCTGCATTTGACATCCTAATTTCGTTAAGGTAGTATTGAAATGTTGGTTGAGTTAGAGCATACCCAACATTCACAAATTTTTTGCGAAAGTTTTTGTCTTTGATTGCACGCATGAAGTTTTGTGCAATATTTCTAATGCAATATACATGAGTATAAGGAGGATTATGCCACCCATTATCATGGTTATTGTAGGCACTCTCTATAATAGCATTCCTGTCTGAAATCAAACAGAGATTGGCTTGTGGAGCGACATGTGTTCTGAGATTCTTAAGGAAGAAACTCCAAGTAGAAGCGATCTCACCCTCAACCAGAGAAAAGGCTATGGGAAAGACATTATTGTTACCGTCTTATGCAACAACCATAAGCAAGGTGCCCTTGTATTTTTCGTAGAGTCATGTTCCATCAATTTGAATAACAGGTTTGCAGAATGCAAAACCTCTTATGCATGGTTGAAACGACCAAAAGAGATGGTGAAAGATGACATTTCCATCAACATTAGTTCCACCTGGCCTACATGTTGGCACTGTCTGCATGATTGCAATAGTTCCCGGTGTGTATGTCTTTAGTGCAACCAAAAATCGCAGTAATTCCTTGTATGAATCCTCCCAATTGCCAAATACATGTTCAACAACCTTTGTCCTTGCAATCCGCGCCTTCTTGTACGAGTGAATATAATTATACCGCGTCACCATATGAGAGATTATTATACTCACCTTAATTGAAGGATCCTTGTTAACAAGCGGCAAAATGTCTTGACATATCAATTTTGCGTTTAGCTTTCGGTGATCCTGAATAATATTTGTGGCAGTGCAACTATGAGGTGGCTCTATGGAAGTTATCTTCTAAGAATCGCTTCTCTTTCTGTAAGACACAACAAGCCAAAACATGCAAAGTGGATTACGACAAATAATGACATACCTTCTCGAATCAGTTCGGTGTACATTGAAATCAACAGAGTTATCCATGTGATATTTTTTAATGGCTCGTACAAAATCCTCCTTGGTACGAAATTGGTTTCCCACTTTTAATTCATTCTCTGACCGCATATACAGGTTGTGAAACACATCTGCGGATCTCTCATCGTCTTACAAGTCCAAGTCTGTCATATGTTGAGGCGGACAATATACATGACCTGGAGGTATTGGTACTTGTTCGTCATCTTCAACGTTGTTGTTCAACAGTTGATCGACCAACGTCTCGCTTCCTTCTTCTTCTTCATCAACGATGTTGACCTCCGGTTCGGTTTCATCTGAGTATTCTGATTCGGTTTCATCTGAGTCTACACCTGTTGATTGATCGATGATCTGAGACTGTTGAGATGCAATATTTTTTTGGAGGAACGTATACAACTCAATATAGTTGAAACCAGAATGTTCGTGGCTAATGAACATATTTTCAACATCTTCATCATCTCGCACTTTAAGTGAATAAAATTTAACATGGTTGGTTTAAAAAAAACTGGGTTTTGAAATATTATTTGTGCTATAGGACCAAGCCCTAATTTCGGTTCCAATCTTTCTTTGAAATGCAAGAAACTTGTATTTCTATTGATTGTGAATCAGACAATATCGGTGTTTTGAAAACCAAACCCAGATACATCGGAGACATATGTCTCTTCGTTGTAGTGGGCGTTAATAATATATCTCGGTGCAGATGACATACTAAAAGAACTTGTTAGAGACTTACTAATTTTTCTTGTTTTGGTTTCTATCTATGTCTGCATGCATGAGAACATATTAATGTGCATGGAACACGTAATAGATTCGCCACATGAATTGGAGACATGGTCAAAAGTATTAAATGGAGTCACCACATGAATTGGCGACAAGGTACAATCTTTTAGACATTGTTTTTCCATGTGGGTGTCAGGATGCTATGCGTGCATGAAGCAACCTCAACTACGTGCACAACTATGTTTCAGTCTACCAGGCGTCGCTAACTGGACTGGCGACCCTTTGTAAAGGGTGAATGCAATCGCCAATTGGTCTGGCGACATGGTACAACTGATTATTCTCACATGTGACTCCTAATTCCCTATATAAGAAAGCTAGAGGTATGGGTAAATGCATCATCTGATTCATACTTGTTGCAGAGAGGTAATATCAAGTCTAAAGTGTCAGTATACCAATTATCTGATTCACATTTAATCAGTTATAATGTGCGCAAAAAAAAACACATCTACTTTTTTTTATGCGCCGTTTTGCTCCAAGCATGGGGTTGGTGTAGAATGTCATCCCTAGCGCCCGTCAACCACAACAACTTTTCCTTCTCGTATGCACAAAAGTAAGTTACTAAGTTAATCTTAGTTTATTTCACCTTATTAATTATTGTGTCTAACTAATTGAATTTGAACTTTTTGTGGTTTAGATGGTCGGCTAAGGGTATGACTTACAATAGATGCCCTAGACGTTATATCATTCAATACCGCAATCTGTTGGATCACCTAACACCTGCAGATGTAAGGCCTTTAAACAAATCAATTTATATTTTATATCAACTATTTTATGATCTAATATTTTTCTCTTCTTCAGTTCATATGGCGTCCATATCTAAACATGGAACACCTACATGAAGTCAGAGAGGAAGATGTTGCTGTTTGGACTACATGCGTCCCGATCATCAGATTCACAACTGTGGAGATGCACAACAGTTACCGTGTCAAACTACAATTTGGAATGCATTAAAACATCCCAGATCCTCCTGTTGACATCAGTAAATGACAACTAAAAAGAGTTAATGATCAATGGGACTTTCTCGACTGAAAGGATTTTGCAAAATCTGAGTGTCGTAAATGGATGAACCACAACGCCCATGTCTTACGTGACCCAGTGATGGCAACCCCGTCTATACCAACTATTAATTATATAGCTTGGTACAGATTGGTTGCAACTGGGTTTGTCTCCGAAGACAGGTATTTATACGACCCACGCCAAACCACCTACACACAAGAAGCTTCAACGTCTAACCCACTAGGAAGGCCATGTTACTCACAACCCCCTATCCAACAAAATTACCAACCCATTAACCATCCAAACATGTCAAACACCCAACCACAATACCAAGAGCGTCCTACATACCATCTCCAACACACTGACTACTATCCAGAAACCCAATATGGTTATGGCCCCAACACAATATCAAGATATAATCATAACGAAGGTACATCATACCATAGCCATAACGCTCAAACATCTTTCCATAGCCAAAACACTCTGACATCATACCCTAGCTACACACTCAACCATCTCAACAACCTTATGACTTTCAAACACCACTACCATTTCAACCTTTCACCAACGAATCCTTCACACCAATGTCCCCCTTCAACCGTCCAGGTCGCACACCAATGACTCTTTCATCACATCCGAACTACTCTAGCATGGGTCGCACGCTCAGTTTCAACACACAAGACCTCATAGAAATGCAAGGAATTCTTAGGGAACCATCTGGGAGTGTTCTTGAGACTTCAACTCCTCAAACACTTGGCGTGAATCAACATCGAGGGGAACAAGTGCAACGAGTTATGGTGCCTAGGGGATGTGGAACCGGTGGCCGCTATGACCCACCTGGTCGTCAACATTAGTTTATGTAATAGTTTTTTTAATTAATGATAATATTATTTATTTTTCGTAAAAAAAATTACAAAATACACCCTATCTCCAGATGTAGTGGCGACAGGGTATTAAGTACTCCAGATGTAGTGGCGACAGGGTATTAAGTATTACACCAAGTCGTCAATTGAATTGAAGACTGCATGAGGTGTCTCCAATCCAATTGGTGACACCCTTATGGCCTTAACAAAGGGTCGCCAATTGGAATGACGCCCTTAGATAATCAGAAATCCTAACTAAGTTACTTTGGAAATTTTTTTAAAAACTAAAATATTTAAAAAAAAATTAAAAATGTGAGTTATTTAAGTAAAAAATTCGTAATGAATAGTAACTTTTACAAATAGACCTTAACTACTCAAATTCCTTTTGAAAATGATTTTTGAATACTAAGCAATTGAATTAAATATTTTAGTTGCTTAAAAAAATAAATTTAACTATCATAAACAAACTTGAGTGCTTGTAAAAATAAAAATAAAACACCAACTCCTAACAAAACCTTAAACAAACGTGTGTTATAAGGAGTACATTAGTTTTGAACCCTACATAAACTATGGTTAGATGCACGTCCGGACTATGCATTGAAACAAAAAACTAACACTAATCCTCAAACTAGTAGAAACTACTGTCTGATTAAAACACATCCTAGTATTTAGGATGATCTTTGTTTTCTTTTAAAAATTCCCCACAAGTAATACTTTGATTGAAATCCTGCAAAACGAATAGCTCAAAAATTTAGACATAGTTAACAAGTTTAAGGTTATGTTTGGTAATAAGATGGAATATGATAGAATAGAGTGGAACGTAGGGTAATGATACTGAGTAAAATAAATTGGTTCATTCCATTACATACATTCTAAATTGGAGGGAATGAAAATTAAAAGATTGAATGTAATAGGATATTATGGATTTCATCATGTTTCATTCCCCTCTGTCTATTATTTAGAAATTCAAACAATGAAATCTCATCATATACCATTTCACTTCTTTCCATTTTATCATATTCCATCAAATAGAAACATACCCAAAACATACTCTTAAGTTATGTTTGAATTGATGAATAAAATGAGATGAAATTGTATAAATTTATGATCTATTGTTTAAATTAACTTAAAAAGGATGGAATGAAACGGAATTTGATGGTATGCATTTCAACTAATTTTATCACTTGTATCATTTTTTATACTCTATAATTTGAATAGAAGCACAAAACTGCTCTATTTTATTATGAAATACTGGAGCAATAAAATAACATCTTTATTCCAATCCACCGCTCTATTTGACTCCACTCCCCACTACTATGTTTTACAATATTCAAACATGGCCTAAGCGTAAATGAAGAAGTAGCATATGTGTAATGTAATGTAACTCACTCCTATATTGGCAAGGGAGCATTGTGGAGGAAAATATCAAAAGCTCAGCTTCTTCAACCTTAGCTCTAATGGCAAGATTACTGGAAATCATTTCATAAACTAACTCGTCAAAATATCTCTCAACTCTGTAAAAAATGCACTAACATTTAATTCATTACTAGATATATAATCAGTTACAAAAGGAGATTGATGTGCCGAAATAGTTAAATTTATATAGGATGTTTCTAAGCACTGTTTTAAACTGCGGTTACATTTGCCGTTGTTGCAATGCCTATTGCAGATATTGCAGTGTGAATGCATACCGATAGATATTTGAAATACAAAATTGAAAAATTGAAAATTTGAAAAATGCTTAAAGTTAAGAATTTTCATTATATTTAAATATTGAGATTTGTAAGCTCTAAAATTTTCAATTTTGGTGAGAAGAAATCAACGAATATAGGTGAAATTGTGTGACGTGGTTGTATACGTGATTTTAATTATGGTTTTAAATTATGGTCCGCAACCGCAATTGCACCCGCAATATTGGGGATGCACAACCGGATTGGACCGTAATTGCGGTGTGATTTTAAAATTGCGCCTCCAGCTATATTAGGAACCACATCTGACCGTTTCAATCATAAATCTTCAAATATTTTCATCAAAAATCAAAATATTAAAATCCTAAAACTCAATTTACTAACATAAGTGTTTTTCAACATTCTATGACTGCAATCGCAACAACCGCAATGACTGCAATCGCAACACCCGCATCTGCAACTGCATCCGCAGCCACAATGGCAACACCCACAACCGCAACTGCAATTTAAAACCATGATTTAAATATACACCGCAGTTGCGGCCTGATAATGTTATGGAGACAACCGCATCAGCAATATTGCTGCTGCAATTTCGGCTGCAGACCGCACTCGATCTTGACTGCACCACATCAGCAATTTTGCAGTTGCGGACCGCAATTTAATACCATGTTTCTAAGTTTGTAAAAAACATCACCTTTCATTCTCAGGAAAGAAATAAAGGCCAATGCTCTGATTATTTGTTCCATATTTACTGAAACTTTGTGGCCACACAGCTGATCTTTGAAGCAAATCTGCATACAACACATCAGGGAGATGTCTTGTCTCCTCGAGAACTTTAAGACATGCTAAAGTCGACAAATGGCTCATTAATTCAAAGCTTCTGTTGATAAGCTGCAAACTTCCCCCATTTCAGAGAATGAATTCAAATTCAGACAATATTTTTTCAGACAATCTTTACCAATTACCATAGCAGCTACAATAAATTCATTACTTTCAAAACTCAGTAACTTGCCGCGAAAAACAAACTTCTTACCTCCATATTGGATCAGCAATAGGATGCGGATCAGGATCAGCCACAGTCGCGCATTCATATTCAGAATCAACTTCACTGGAATTATCTTCAGTCTTTTTCGAATCTGCAATCTCGTTATCAGAATTATCTACGTCACAATCCTCAACATCAACATTCTCCGAATCTGCATTATCTTGATCATAATCCTCGCTGAAACTAATTTCAGTGTTTTCTGAATCCACAATCGCGTTATCAGAAAAATCTACGTCGATTACCTCTCCTTCACAATCCTCGCAAAACCAAATAACATCATCTGTAAAAACCACAGACCCGTCTAAACAATACCTGAAAAAGAGAGAATATACGTGTCACTGTAACATAATATCATATAGTTGGTAGGCTTCGGCGCAATGCCATTGGCTCGCAAACCGTTGTCAACAATATCGGTTGGTTTGGCCACATTTATCGCAATCGCATTCGCTGTGGAAACATGCAATGCAATAGAGAAAGTAACAAGTACCTATGCAGTGCATAATGTTGACATTTGAAGCAATATACCAATGTTTCTTCAAAGCCTTGGTTGCCACATTTGAGACAAACAGAAACCTGAAATAGAAACAAGTTATAACACATGATTCATAAAAGAAGTATAATGGTAATAAGTTTAGAAAGAGTTTCATATACCGTTTCAGATTCAGCAATGAACTCGGAAAAAGAATCAATCTCCATCCATAGATATGTATGTAGGGTAGAAATTCAATATCTGTTTGTTGAGATTCTATTTGAGAAAACGAAATGTCAGCTAGAGCTTTTGTTAGAAAGTAGAGAAACCATTTATGAAATTATTTTTTATGCCTCGAGAATCACTTTTTTTTAAGAATATGGAATATAATTCTTTTTAATAAATGCCTAGGAAATTGTTTGTGTTTCATATATTTCAAAATTTCAAAATTATCTGTGATTGTCGCTGATTTTGACAGGATTACGGTTTCATCCTTCGCAATTGTGATAGTAAGAGAATTGAAACAAAAAACAAAATTACAAATTATTCTATCAAATAATTTGTCTTCAATTATAATTTATTTTACAATTCTAATAAACATTAGTAATACTTATTTCCTGTTATTTATTATGTATTGTTTTCTCTTTTTTAAATTTTATGTATTTATCTTATGTGATTAATATATAAAAATTATAAATGATCTCATAATTTCTCTTTTTCATAATATTAACTACTTTTTAAATGGAATAAATGACCAAAACTTCATATAAGTTGAAAAGGGATTGATTTCTAATAGAATTAATTTTTAGTTTTAATAGAAATAATTAATAGAAATTTAGTAATTTAATAGAGTTAACTCCAAATTTTAACCAAATAAATTAAAACAAGTATTTTTTATTTTTTTAAAATTATAATCGAAGAGGTGAAAATGGAACAACAAAAACTTAGTACCAAACCAAACAATAATTTTTTACGAATAGACCTTGAACTATTAAACCCTTTTGAAAATGATTTTTGAATATTAAGTAATTGAATTAAATAGTTTAATTGCTTCATAAAACTAAATTTAATTATCATATAGGACTATGCATTGAAACAAAAAATTAACACTAATCCTCAAACTAGAAAAATACTGTCTGATTAAAACACCTAGTATTCAGGATGCTGTTTGTTTTCTTCTAAAAATTCCCCACAAGTAATACTTTGATTAAAACACCTAGTATTCAGGATGCTGTTTGTTTTCTTCTAAAAATTCCCCACAAGTAATACTTTGATTGAAATCCTGCAAAATGAATAGCTAAAAAATTTAGACATAGTTAACAAACAATCCATATTGGAGGGAATGAAAATTGAAGGATTGGATGTAATAAGATGTTATGGATTTAATCATGTTTCATTTCACTCTGTTCAATATTTACAAATTCAAACAATAAAATATGATTATATACCATTTCATCACATTCCACCAATACAAACATAACCCAAACATATCCTTAAACTATGTTTGGATTCATGGAATGGAATGAGATGAAATTGCATAAACTTATGTTCTATTTTTTAGATTAATTAAAAAAGGATGTAATGGAGTGGAGCTTGATGGAATGCATTCCAACCAATTTCATCATCACTTTCATTATTTTTTGTATCCTCCGATTTGGACAGAATCACAAATCTGCTCTATTCTATTATGAAATACTCGAGCAATAGAAGAACATCTTTATTCCAATATGCTCCATATTGCTCTATTTCACTCCACTCCCCACTAAGTTTGTTTTACAACATCCAAACATGGCCTAAGCTTAAATGAAGAAGTAGAACATATGTGTAATGTAATGTAACTCACTCCTATGTTGGCTTGGGAGCACTGTGGAGGAAAAGATCAAAAGCTCAACGTCTTCAACCCTAGCTCTTATGGCAAGGTCATTGGAAATCATTTCATAAACTAACTCGTCAAAATATCTCTCAACTCTAAGGAAAAAAAAAAAAGGTTAACATTTAATTCAATACTAGATATATAATCAGTTGCAAAAGTAGATTGATGTGGCCAAATAGTTAAATTTATATAGGATGTTTCTAAGCATGGTTTTAAACTACGGTTAAATTTGCACTTGTTGAACAACGTATTGCAGATAGTGAATGCATAATGATAGATATTTGAAATACAATATTGAAAAATGCTTAACGTTAAAACTTTTCATTACATTTAAACATTGAGATTTGTAAGCTCTAAAATTTTCATTTTTGGTGAGAAGAAATGAACCAACATAGATGAAATTGTCTGATGTGGTTGCATACGTGATTTTTAATATACACTACAATTGCGGCCTGATACCGTTGGGGAGACAATCGCATCTGCAGTATTGCAGCTGCAATTCCGACTGCAGACCGCACTCGATCTTGACTGCAATTCAGGCCGTTGCAGAGGCGACTGCATCAGCAATTTTGCAGTTGCAGACCACAATTATAACCATGTTTTTAAGTTTGTTAAAAAAAACATCACCTTTCATTCTCAGGAAAGAAATAAAGGCCAATGCTCTGATTATTTGTTCCATATTTCCTAAAATTTCCTGGCCACACAGCTGATCTTTGAAGCAGATCTGCATGAAACACATTAGGGAGATGTCTTGTCTCCTCGAGAACTTTAGGACGTGCTAAAGTCGACAAATGGCTCATTAATTCAAAGCTTCTGTTGATAAGCTGCAAACTTCCCCTATTTTACAGAGAACGAATCCAACTTCAGACAATGTTTTCGGCGTAACGACAAACAAAAATTAATTAGTTCCAAAAGATGGTTACAGAAGTAAGTCACTAAAAAAACAAATTTTTTACCTCCATACTGGATCAGCAATAGGCAGTGGATCAACTACAGTAGAACATCCATTTTGGGAATCAGCTTCATCTTTTTCAGAACCTGTAGTGATTTGATCACAGTTCTCGTTGGAATCTACTTCATCTTTCTCGGAATCTGTAGTGAGTTGATCATAGTCCTCGATGGAATTAACTTTGATCTCACTATCAGGATAATCTACATCTACTACCTCTGCTTCACAATCCTCACAAAACCAAATAACCTCATCTGTAAAAATCACAGGACCATCTAAACAATACCTGAAAAGGGAGGTTGTGGTACATATGGCCAAAAGGCTTTTAATATTGTGAAACAACAATTTCAGAAAATGCGAAAGCCGTGTTAAGAAAAAATATGATGGCAAAACACCGTTGCTTCTGATGCAGAAATGGAAGTTCATTCTGTTATTAATACAATTTAGTTGTTCACCTAATCAAAAGAAGAGAATGATATTCACACGCTATGTTTCAATAATGCTGCTATAACATAATTGTGAGTAACTAACAAGTACCTATGCAGTGCATAATATTCACATTTGTTGCAATATACCAACGTCTCTTCAAAGCCTTTATTGCCGCACTTGAGACAAACAGATACCTGCAATATGTAGGCAAAGTTATAAAGCAATGGTTCATAAAAGATGTATAACTCCAAAAAAAGAGATATTTTAAGAAAATAAGAAACACCTGAGGCAACTGAATTATTCCCATTTCTGCTTCCGCTTGAGAACTTTCATCTGCAGTTTCGGTTTCAGCACTGATCTCTGAAGCAGCATCAATCTCCATTGAGTTTGAAGGTTGCTGATCATTTTGATGAACAATATGATTTTGAATCTCATTTCGAACTGTGCTTTCTGACATTTCTGTCTGTTTAACAGCTACCGGTGTAGATAACTGAGTATCAATAGGAGATTGTGGTGGTGCTATTACTATTGCACCAGAATCAGAACATGAATCTTTGATCAATGTATTAATATCAGAACCTGCATGAGCATGAGACTCTATTGAGATTGAGTGTGGCTGATCTTTGCCTTCTATTTCCAACTGGGAATCGATTTGAATTGGAGGTTCAAAACTTGATCCCACTGCTGGAGATGGTGTGAATACCAGAGAAGGCGCAGGGACTTGTGATGGTGATATTTCGGCAAAATCACATCTCATAGGCTCTGTCCTATTAGAGCTTGCTGAGGCATTTGACTCTACCGGGGTTGAATGTGGCTGATCATTCTTTTCCATGGTAGTCTTTGGAAACTTGAGATGTTCTTTGCCTTTGGATTTTTGAGTTAGTGAGCCTGAGACATGTTGAGACTGTACCTTAAAACTAGATCTTTTTACAGGGATCGGTGCTATTTTAAGCGAAGCCAAACGCCATGATGATGGTGTTAATTCAGATACTTGAGATTTGACTGTATTTGAGAGAGCATTGACCTCAGGTTTTGATGATTTCATGGGCCTTCTTATCCCATTATTCGTCTTCATGTACTTGCCACCTGTTGCTACTTCAATCTCGGACTTGTAAACATGATCCGTTGCATCAGTGTTATCCTTGAGTGTCCGTTTAGAACTTTCAGCTGGAACTTTCTTGTGCTTCAAACTAGGAGCTTCGTGGCTCACATTTTCTCCCTTCAAACCACAATCCTTTGCACCAGAATTATCTCCGAATTTCCTTTTGGAACCTTCAGCTGGAACTTCTTTGTACCTAATACTAGGTGCTTCACAACTCACATTTTCTACTGTGTGCCCGTTTTTCTTAGATTTTGAAACTTCCATACATTGAACTATCGGATTCACTTGAGAAGAATTTGGAATTTGTCTACTCTCTTTTCCATTTGAAGTTTTTTGTTTCATTGATAGCTGACGTAGTGCTAATAACATTTGATGTTTCCTTCCGTTATTATGTTCTCCAAAATTAGTGCGACCAAACTTAACATCACAAATTTTACAATATACAGAACTTGACTCCGGCATTTGATGTGGTAAGTACTTCTTATCAGCATAGACTTCCGGTGTTTGTCGTGGTAAGCTCCTCTTATCAGCAAAGTGTTTTGGCGTTGGATGTCGCATGCCCTTGCTATCAGCATAATCTTTTGGCTTTTGATGTGGTAAGTGCCTCGTATCAGCATAATGTTCCGGCGCTTGTTGCCCAAAGTACTTTTTATCAGCATAGTCTTCCGGCGTTTGATGAGGTAAGTGCCTCTTATCAGCATATTGTTTCGACGTTTGCCGCGGCGGGTACCTCTTATCAGCACAGGGTTCCCGCATTTGTTGTGGTAAGTTTCTCTTCTCAACACGTGGCAGCATCCGATGTAGTAAGTGCCTCTTATCAGCATACCGATCTGGTGTTTTATAAGGCAAGCCCTTGTTAGCAGTATAGTCTTCCGGCATTTGATATGGCGAGTGGCTTTTATCAGCAAAATCCTCTGGTGTTTGATGTGGCAAACACTTTTTATCGGCATAGTCTTCCAGCGTTTTATGCCATACGTGCCTCATCTCAGAATAGTGTTTCGGCCTTTGATTAGTTAAGTGCCTCTTGCTGGAATGGCGTGACAGCATTTGATTGCTTAACTGTCTGTCATCATCGGCATAATATGTTGGCGTTTGATTCAATAAGTACCTATTATCAGCATCATGGTGACCCCTATCGTTGTGCATAAAATCTTTGAATGACTTAGAATGCCTACCATCTCTATAACTGTTTTGAAATTCTTCACTCTGTAAATAAGCATTCAAATATAAAGCAGTGTGTTAGAAATAAAATAAGTCATGTCTTTCACCTTGTTTAAGCTTTTAAAATAATTAATTAATACTGCATTGTTAATCCCATATAGCATCACGTGTCCCATATCAACGACCCCCAAAAATGCTATCGCAATTTAGAGATAACCGTTATTGCAAAGACGGAAAATCATAGTAGAAAATAAATATGAATATTCAAAAATAGAAAATTACACAATTAAAGAGAACATCATACTTCATAATTAAAGAGTACAAAAACATCAACAACCAAACCTTATCCTATTAATTGGGGTCGACCACATAGATCAACTTTCGCCATAATCTAGAATCATGCTTTTATTCAAATCGTTAATTTTGAGATCTTTCTTAATAACTTCGCTTATAGTTTTTCTAGACCTTGCTCTACCTTTAGTTGTTTGACTTCTCTCCATCTGTTCTACTCTCCTTACCACAAAATCTACAAATCTTCTCTCTTCATGCCAAAACTATCTAAATCTATTTTCCACCATCTTTTGTACTATAGGTTGGTGCTACCCCAACACTTTCTCTAATGTTGTCATTTCTAATCGTATGTTGTCTAACCTTACCACACATTCAACGCAACGTCCTCATCTCAACTACACTTAAACAATTAAGAACCTAATAGAACTAAATTAAACGAAGGAAGAAGAACAAAACGGTTGTTTATAAGCAAGAAAATAACGGAATCAAGAATAGAACATTACCCTTAAAAGGGTTCAAATTGACATTTATACCCTTACAAAACACACCAGTTAGGAAAAAGGATTTGAAAAATTTTCGCCCCAAAACCCTAATAGAACTCGCAATAGCCGTTTGGGACGCAATTAGAGGCTGCAGCAACCGCTATTGTTGGCAGTATCTCAGCGGTCAAAAGCCTGTCATTGTTATTATTTCACTATAGCACGTGCAAAAGGTTTTAAAAAATGGTACGTTGCCGCAAAAACAACCGCAGTATAGAGAGGTGCCAATGTCGATACAGTTATTCACTGTTTTTGGAATAAAGAAAAATTTTTGGTTAATTCACACGACAATGACTGCAAACTGTATAGCGGCACCAGTACCAACCTAAATCACAAAAACTTTTCCGCGACCCTGCTATTTAAAAGCTTGATAGCGCGTCCAAATGACAACATAGAATTTATATATCTGTGGCAACGTTCAAAAACAACAACATCAAACTAGAATACAAGAAGTTCATCACTACGATCACAACAAGTCCAAACCTAAAATTCTAACATTTCAACCTTCAAAACAAGCATCTTCATTTACATATTATGATTATGATATCGTCATTAATAACACCTAAAATTCTAACATTTCAACCTTCAAAACAAGCATCTTCATTTACATATTATGATTATGATATCGTCATTAATAACAGTACCGAGACAAAAAAAATCAACCTATTTCAAATAAAGATAGAAAAAGAGAAACAAGAATCTATAAATTCACTTTAGAAAGAAAGAAAAGAAAAACAGAACATCGATAGAAAATTTATTTATGAACAAAAAACAAAAACTTACCATTGTGTTATGTGTGTCGTATTGAAGGGTTTTTCTCCAAAAAGAACGATGAGAAAATCGAAAAGACGGTTTATATGGGGCACTGAGCCCGCGATTCTTGAAACTGTTGAGTGGGGAGTGGAGTGAGAAGAGAGAAGCATTTAGTAGTCTCTCTATTTTATTACTCCATCCATTAAATATATTTTTGTTCTTTTCATTAATTATTTTTTATTAAATTGATCCCTTAACTAAAATATGTCATATTAATTTTATTTGTCTCATAAGCGACGGATTTTTGAAATTTTTTTCAATATAATTAAACGAAAAAAATCAATATGACACATTTTAAAGAGTTAAAGGATCAATCTAACACAAAAAATAATTAATGGATTGACACAGAAAATAATCAAGGGACCAATCTATACTTAAGAATATAGTTTAAAAAAAAATATTTAACCATTTTTCTTAAATGTGATTTTATGAATTTTTAAAGGTATCAAAAAAATTAATAATTATTGTTACTTTTTAAATAATGATTTTTTATTTATTTTATCATTAATTTTTATTAATTTTATTAATTTTTTTTTAAAAAAAAAATTCTTGGTGATAAATAACTGGGAAAAACAAAAATCATTACGATTTTGAATTTTGAAATGACATTTAAAAAAACCATTTCTTTTTTTTTCTTTAAATAACAGAGTTTCAAGTTCTTCATTGCTGCTTTTTTCACAAAAGCAGGCTCTTAGCATATCTGGCGCTGGCTCTGACCCTGTTGAATATCCATGCTGGTGGCGAGAAAGGATTGGATTGTAGCTTATAACTCCTTTAGTACCAATGAGGGTATATTCGGGAAATCCCCACAGCTCGGGATTATAGCAACACCGTTGATCTTGGTATCATACTAGTTGATATCATAGTGTTTGAGGGTTATTAATTTTTCAACCCATGCCTCTTTGTTGGGGAGGTTCCAAAGGACTTGAGTTCTAGGCAAGTGAGAAATAAACTACTTACTAAGCAAAGTCGTACCTCATGAGTGTTCACAAGGTCGTACACCTTTTGACGATGGATGGTGATATATGTATCTGCCAATAGAGTGTTTACAGGATTCTTGATGATGAAGAGCCGGATGGCCTCTTCACTGATGAATTCGTCACAACATGGGAACAAACACAAACCATACATTAAGAATGCTAAGATTGCCTCAAACATTCCTAGATTTATGTTATCATAATGAAACTCGGCCATCTCCATGAATGATCTTGCTTCCATTTCAGAGAAACCACTCCTAGTTACCAATTCAGCGGACAGCTCGGTTGGCCTGATGTGTAACACCCTTCTAAACCCCGCAAATAATATATGCATAATCAGAGTAAAAGTTAACATGCATCCATAAAAGGGCATCACACAAAACTTGCACCACATTAAAACAATCTATCATGCTCATAAACACCTTTCCATTTAGCAGCGGATTCATTAATGAAAATCCTTTAAAAGAAATATTTACTTTCATCATATAAAATCAACATCTCTAGGCACTAAGGCCAACATCTCATTATCTCAATTACTCCAAATTTGAAAACATAACTTAGGTTACATAATGTAATCCTAAAACATAAGCAATCGATCCCCGTGTTACACGACCAGAGCATGACTCGACCCATAAATAATTACTAAACCGCTACACACGTAGCGACCTCGAACTACAAGCAGAACTTCATAAAGGCCTCCAGCAACCTAATCTGTAATGCCTCATAGAGCATTATAAAACAACAGAAGGGTGAGAAATATAACCATAATAATCAAAGCATAAGATTATATATATATATATATATATATATATATATATATATATATAGGTAATCAATACAAGTTCCACTCCGTATTTCTCACCACAATTCAATTTCTTAGTCATATATATTTGCCACACATATAATGACAACACGAATATTTGTAAAGCATTTCCACATCATGCATACTCTCACAATTTCACAATCTCATCATTCACACATAAGCATCTCTTCATGCATATGTCATATATTAATGTGACTCAACAACTCAATGCAACTCATGCAATGCGGTACCGACTCTCGTTATCTTTTTTCGGTTTTTACATTAAACCGGGTCCACTCTTCTAGACCGATAACCCGTTATCTTTTTTCGGTTTTTACATTAAACCGGGTCCACTCTTCTAGACCGATAACCACAAAGGCCCGTCCTCTAAGCCTTCAAACCCACTCTTCTAGGTTTGGGACAAGCCACTAGTTTCCACGAAACTAACAGACATTGCCTCTTGACTAAATGATGCATGTACAATCAGCCACAACAAATGCACTTAAGACCGACATCTTAATCTCATGCATTCAAATAATTCATCTCTTCAAGAATTACATTATGATTGCACACACAACATATTCACATAACATTCATCGATGTATTCATAATTCAACACTATCACCATATTATCACTCACAATGCATACATATCCACGATATGTTCTCATGCATTCTTCACAGTTATCAAACAATGCACACATATCCACGATATGTTCTCATGCATTATTCACATTTAATCACATACATACAATATGCATTTACAACATCTATCAAGCAATGCACACATATCCATGACATGTTCTCATGCATTCTATTCATACCACCATATACCAACAATATACATTCACAATTCAATATCATCACCGCATTATCAACAATGCACACATATCCACAATATGTTCTCATGCATTCTCAAGTAATTCATCATACAAGAATTACATCATGCTTACACGCATAACACATTTACCACGCAATGTACATATATTCACGATATATTCTCACGTATTGTTCATACATAATCGCATCCAATCAATACAAACATCATATTTATCAAACGATGCACGCATATCCATCAATATGCTCTCATGCATTCTTCATGTATCTTAACATACAACCGCATATAAACAATATACATCCACAATACATTTTTTGTATTATGTTTATTATTCATCTCATGCCATTTCATACAAGGTATACATGTCACAGTACCAATAATAAAATTATAAGTTATGCACACATATATCCACAATGTTCTCATGCATACTTATTACCTAATTGTACACTACATCAAACCTTCACAAACTCATCAAATAATACGCACATTACCATTATTAAATAATACACACATAATCATTATCATGTTCTCATGTATTTATAATCGATCTGATTAATACTCATACCACAAGTCTAGGATTCACGCCCAAAGGCTACCCACAACACATATCATCACCATGGATCACATACTTATTCATATCATAGAGGTATTAACCTATGTGAATCAACCAAACAATCACCACATGAGCAACACAGCAAAAGAAAAATGCTGTCACATTCGCCTTCATTCGCCTGGCGAACCCTCACAGCGAACCTTCGCCTGGCCTTCGCCTGGCGAACTCTCTCAGCGAACACTCGCTAGGCTTCGCCTGGAGAGACTTCCCAGCGAGCCCAAGTCAGTAGCTACTGACTTCATTCGCCACCATTTGCCAGCACCTTCGCTGGGCGAACCTTCGCTATCCAACTTCGCCTGGCGAACTCGCCAGCGAAGTCCACTGGAACTTAAACTTAATTATTCGCCAGCATTCGCTGTGCTTCGCCTGGCGAAGCTTCGCCTTCGCTCGCCTGGCGATAGCCAGCGAACCTGCGCAGAACAAAACCACACTCTGTCCCTCCTTCACCATTCCACCATCCACCAACTTTTGAACATCCAAATCAGTACAAATAGCATCAATACATGTTACCCGACTATTCTACGGCGTTATTACTCAGTTCCAACCGATTAAATCATCAATCTACCGATTAATCCAACATTTGCCCTAATTGGAAAGTGATGAAAACTCTACCAAAACCCCAACCCAACATACATAACATTATGCAATGATCAAATAGAAACATTTCTCACCCTTACCTTGATTAATCGAAGCTTTGATGTTGGTTCTTGATGATTTTTCCACTTTTCCTCTTCTTCTCCTCTCTTTCTCTTCTTTCTTCTTTCTTTCCTCTTTCTCTCCAAATGTTTTCTCTAATTTCCTTTCTCTTCTTTCTCACTTATATATCCCTTTTATTTTCTTTCCTTCCAATTTCCTTTCAATTCTCTATTAATTCCAATTAATAAAAATTAATTTTAATATTAACATAAAATCCCACTAAATTAATTAATTACTACAATTAATTATTTAATGAAATTTGGGCTGTTACAACCCTCCCCCACTTTAGGAATTTTCGTCCTCGAAAATGTTATCTGATCCAAACAACTCTGGATACGACTCTCGCATTCCAATTCTTCCAAATCCAATTCTCCCATAACTACTTCCACCAAAGGAATCTCTATACTTCGAAGTTGTTTCTTATCAACAACTAGAACTAGCCACGCCTCCGAAGTCAAATTCTCTCTCACTTGTACACCATCCACCTGAATCAATGTACCTCTTCAACTTAGACATATGAACACCTCATGCAATCCTCTCAAGCGACAGCGGTAAAACAGTCTAACATGCTATCCGCCTCACGCTTCCGCTGCGCTACTCTGATACAGATCAACAAAACACAGGGTGCTCACGAGACTTCAAGCTCGACCAACACCAATTACTACCATAACTCTCAAAACACGGCCTTACTTGGATTCTTTGATCGTTTCCATCGTCCCTTGCACGGTCTTTGATCCGAGTACAACACTCCCGTTGGACATGCAACAACACAAAGGAGTCATACCCTCTTACCCAACGAACTTCATACGATGTTGTTTCCGATACGAAATGGCAACAGTTATTGTAGGCAACTCCATCAACGACAATTAACTACCCTTAGATCCATCTTGGTCCAACTCACAAGCTCTCAACGAGTCCTCTTCATACTGGATAGTTTTCTTCGTTTGTCCATGCCATTCACGGACGCTAGTCAGAGTTCATCTTCAACATGGCACCCAACTGCTTTCGCAATCTTTCCCATAATCTTAACGAAAAACTTGAGTTCCCA